CCCCAAAACCCCAAAACCCCAAAACCCCATAGAGGGGAATTTAGGTGGATATTAAGGTTAAAATGGGAGTCAATATGGTGGGTTTAGGAGGTTGTGGGTGTGAATGGGCATGGGCTTTGGTGAAATGGGCGGCATTGGTCTTCGCACTCGTGCTGTTGTATGTTTTACATGTCATGGTCCTCAAGCCATATCTGTTCTACAGGAAGTACAAGCAGTACCCTAATGTCAAGTCAAGAGAGTCCTTCTTGCCAATCCTTGGGGATATTAAGGAGCATGTGGATTGAATGAAGAACAATGGAGCTCACTATGTGTATATGAAAAATAGAGCAGATGAGTTCAATAAGTATGATCTGAGAGCTAAGCTAGATGGAGTAGACCCAAATATTATGATTCAAAGTAATAAAGCTCTAGAAGAATTTGTTAGCATGCAAGGCACCAAAATAGATAAAATAGATACAACTGTTGGACCTTCTGCTGTAATTTTAAAATCGATTATCACCAACCAGTCTTCTCCAGAAGTAATGAGAAGGAAGAAAAGCATGCTCTCTTGGCTTGCTCTCAATTCTGCTTCTCGTTATATTCTGGATATGATCAAATGAATAGAAAGAGTTTGAAATGATATGAAAAACAGAAAGGAAGCTGACTTGATACACGAGATGAATGTGTTTACTTTCGATGTGTTCTCAGACATCCTGTTTGGCGATGACGTCAAAGAGCTAGTTACGAAGCTATATCCATATGAGAACCCTGATGGAACAACAGAGATGATCGAGCTTAGAGAAATACTCATTAGGTTACTAAAAGCTTATATGAATCATATCTTTCATCCTTTATGCTATGTGTTTACATTTATCAAAGAAATGGGTCTTGTTAATCCTTTTAAGAGAGATACTAAGAATAGAAATACCTTCAAGAAAGCAATCTTTGATATTGTCAAGAACTCAAAAGAGCAGAAGACTGCCTACCATATCTTCAATGACCCTATTGCTGATGAAGAGACCAAGCTCGATGAAGTCTGTGCGATACTTGTTGCAGGATCTGAGACCACATCTCACTCCTTGGTGGCTTGCTGATACTTTTTGAACAAATATCCAGACACTCTGAAGAAGTTGAGACAAGAACTCCAAGAGAATGGACTTGGAAAAGGAGCTAACTTTGCTGAAGCTTGCACAATGGAGAAGATCCAGAGTCTGACATACCTTAACTGCTGAGTAAAAGAGGCTTTAAGATGTGATATTGTTTTAGCTCAAAGTTTTTCTTATTCTCCTAAAGAAGATATCCAGATATGAAATGTACCGATCCCAAAGGGAACGCAAATCAGAATAGATCTTGTATCGAGTCATTTTGATAGCGACAAATGGCTTGATGAGTATGAATTCATCCCTGAAAGACATGACCTAGAGTCGGAGTACTTTGCTAAGCTTAAGCAATCAGGGAAGAAGCCTGAAACTTACTCCCGTAGATCCTTTAGCCATGGCATGAGGAAGTGTCCAGGGCAGACTTTTGCAATGCTTGAGATGAAGGTAGCCATTGCTTATATTGTGACTCACTTGGATCTGAAGTTCAAAGAGGAAGATCTACAGAATGAGAACATTGGATTCGGACTTGGAAGTCATTTATCTCCTATTGTAGAGGTGCAAGAGCTTTAAGATATGAGCCTATTCAATCTGAATTTTTAATGATGGGGTTTTGGGGTTTTGGGGTTTTGGGGTTTTGGGG